ATTTTTAATAGAAAAGTCAAATGTCCAAAGACTTTTCTTCTTCTATCAGAAGAAATGAAAAATGAACGTTGCCCGTAGAAGTTTTGGGTTGAAAAAGAGCCCTTGGAGAGCACGGGGCAGCATTTGGGTCCTGGCCATCATGCTCAAAACCATTGGGGCTCCGTTGGGGCTTCCTTGGGGAGCAACTTCTTGCAAGTCAAGGCAAAAGCTTAGTGCTGGGCAAGTGGAAACAATTGTTCTGATTTTTCACGTTCATGACATTTCTCAACAAAACCCTGTTTTGAATTTTTATGGCCTGCTTTAGGAGACCCACGTGCAATGTATTATTTTTCAGATATTCCTTTTCCACTTTCTGGGTAAGAAAAAAAGCATTTCAGCTGCAAAATTTGAAATGAGGAGCAGAATCAGACAGCTTGTGGTATTTTAATTTGAACATGCAGATTTAAGGGCTGGAGAAACAGAAGCGGATGAAGCTCCGTGCAATGGAGCCTGTGGGGCTGGGGTTGACTTCCCAAGACATGGCAGATGGACATCGATGCTGGACATCTTCCCCCCTCCACTTCCACCCTCTTCACCCCCATTTTCCTTCCCTTCTAACTTTATTCCTTAGAGTGGCTCTGGGAGGTGTCCCCTAAGCCACCAACCCCCTCCCCTGTGGTCCTGGCATCACTCTGGTGGCACATCCTCACTTCTCCAGCCCTTTGGGATGCAGGTGCTCTTCTGGCCTCAGGGCTTTGTTATGTTTTGGGTAAAAAGCAGTAAGTTAAGACATCTGAGGGGGACTTCTCCCATTGTGTGGCTGTGGCTCCCACCCTGTGTCGAGCACGGGGGGTGCCCGACCTGTGACTGATGCTCCCCGAGAGCATCTGCCTGGCACCAGCGAGCAATGCTGGAAAAAAAAAAGAAAATTGAGATTATTGGCTTCAAGTGCAAACCATCACTTCTCTTGTCATGTATTCCGTGCGTGCGCGGGATAGAAAAGCTAAAAAGCTGCGTTTAAAGCAGAATCACAGAATGACATGGTGTTGGAAGGGACCTCTGGAGATCATCTCCTCCAACCCCCTGCCAGAGCAGGTCCCACCCAGAGCAGGTCCCACAGGAACGTGTCCAGGTGGGGTTTGAATGTCTCCAGAGAAGGAGACTCCACCACCTCCAGGGCAGCCTCTTCCAGGGCTCTGCCACCCTCACAGGAAAGAAGTTCCTCCTCATGTTAAGGTGGAACTTCTTACATTCAAGTTTGTGCCCATTCCCTCTTGTTCTGTCCCTGGGCACCACTGGGAAAAGACTGGCCCCATCCTCCTGACACCGTCCCTTGAAGTATTTATAAGCATAATTAAGTGAAGTGCTTAATCAGGATGCACTGAGGGTTTGGAGGAGTTTTGCATCGCTGGGATGTGCCGATCCTTAAAGCAGGAGCTTGAGGGATCTGTCTGCTCCTGCATCCCGGGGCTGGGAATGATCTTTAAAGCAGGAGCTTGAAGGGGTCTGTCTGCTCCTGCATCCCGGGGCTGGGAAGGTGGGAAGGAGAAGGACTCCCGTGGGGATGGTGCATCCTTCTCCTGGTTAATCCTCTGGAATAACGGGCTGGGAGCCGGCAGATGAAACTATTTCACTAAAGCAGGAGGAGCATCCCACAGCCCAATTAAAAGATTAGAGCAGAAGGCTGGTGCGTTGCCTCTAAGTGCATCAATTTATCAAGAGTAGGGATAAAAAAAGCCGTTTCTCATGCTGTGGTACTCACCAGCTCCCACGGAGTTGGGTGCATGGGAGGCTTTTCCATCCCTAGAAGGGATTTGGGTGTTTTCCTTGGGAAGGTCCTGCTCCTTCTTGATTTATCCGGGCAGCAGCACCGGGTGGGATGGTTTGGATGGGGTGGACTCTGGTTGCTGCTTGAAACAGGGGAAACTGAGGCACGTGGGGGTGAGTTGAGCTGCCCAAGGTAGGTTTGTAGCAGGTCAGGGCTACAGAAAACATCTTCCCTATTGGAATGGACCGACTCCTGTGCTGTTCTGCATCCTGCACGGCTGATAATGTCCTTTGCCAGTGCTGGTGGGCACCGACGTGCAGTGGGTAATACCCTGCCCCTCCGCCTGCCCCCAGGAGCTTGCCTTTTCACATTTCAGAGCAAAACACTGCTTTTCCGTGGCAAAAAGCATCTGCAATCTGAGCCATCCTTGCTTTCCCCTTCCTAAGTGATGCCCAGCCAAGGAAACAGGTATCCTCTCCGTCAAGATTTAGCTCCCACTTGCCTCTTTCTGCTCTTATTCCACCCAAACTGTGTGATTAACCAGTAATTAACCTCCTTTTTGCAAATAAAGCTGCAACCCCAGATGTTCCTGGCCGGGGCTTTCACTGCCCGCCCCCGAACTTTACTCCCAGCCTTAACCCCAGATGTTCCTGGCCAGGAACTGCCCGCCCCCGAACTTTACTCCCAGCCTTCAGGGTTTATTCTCAACTGCATCCCAGGAATTCGGGGATGCTGCTCTCCCCATCCTTCCGGGATCGCATCCGGAGCGACTTAGGAGTGCTCCCAGCTTTCCCAGGGGAAAACAGTGGTGGATAGAATCATAGAATCATAGAATCACAGAATGGTTTGGGTTGGAAGGGACTTTAAAGATCATCTAGTTCCAACCCCCCTGCCATGGGCAGGGACCCCTCCCACCACACCAGGTTGCTCAAAGCCCCATCCAGCCTGGCCTTGAACCCCTCCAGTGATGGGGCATCCACGACCTCCCTGGGCAACCTGTTCCAGTGCCTCACCACCCTCACTGTAAAGAATTTCTTCCTAGTATGTAACCTAAATCTCCCCTCCACCAGCTTAAAACCATTGCCCCTTGTCCTGTCGCTACTCTTCTTTGTAAAGAGTCCCTCTCCGGCTCTTCTGTAGGCTCCCTTCAGGTACTGAAAGGTCTCCCCGGAGCCTTCCCTTCTCCAGGCTGAACCACCCCAGCTCTCTCAGCCTGTCTTCATAGGAGAGGTGCTCCATCCCTCTGATCATCCTCGTGGCCCTCCGCTGGACCCGTTCCAACAGATCCATGTCCTTCCTGTGTTGAGGACTTCAAATCTGTACACAATAGTCCAAGTGGGGTCTCACGAGTGCAGAGCAGAGGGGCAGAATCACCTCCCGGGACCTGCTGGCCACACTTCTCTTGATGCAGCCCAGGACACGGTTGGCTCTCTGGGCTGCCAGCGCGCACTGCATGTGGAGGAGCAAAACAAAGCAGCCCCAAAACCACCGGCGGCCTCGTGGCTGCCTTGCCCGCGATGGCTGGCGTTAGCACATCCCACTTGCCACCCGCCTTTTGCTGCTGGATTTACCCTGGATTCCTGGGAGTAGCTGCGCGACGTGGCTGGCACCTTCCGGGGGAGTGCGAGATAAATAACAGGGCCCCTCTCTCTGTGTTTTTTGGGATGGTTTTTTGGGTTTTTTTGTTGTTTTTTTTTTTCCCCAAAAGGGATTATTCAGCGATACAGCTCCTCCAGCGGCATCGCTCTGTGTCGGATGCTCTTTTCACTGAATTTCACTGAATTTTAGAGTTGGAAGGGACCATAGAGATCATCTAGTCCAACTCCCCTGCTGAAGCAGGACCACCCAGAGCTTGTCAGAGCATGTTACTCAGGAGCATCCAGGCGGGTCTTGAAAATCTCCAAGGAAGGGGACTCCACAACCTCCCTGGGCAGCCTGTTCCAGGGCTCTGTCACCCTCACTGTGAAGAAGTTTCTCCTCATATTTGAGTGGAACCTCTTCTGTTCCAACTTGTGCCCGTTGCCCCTCGTCCTCTCACTGGGAACCACTGAAAAGAGTCTGGCTCCCTCCTCCTTCAACCCTCCCTTGAGATACTTGTAGGCATTGATAAGGTCTCCCCTCAGCCTTCTCTTCTCCAGACTAAAGAGTCCCAGCTCTCTCAGTCTCTCCTCATAAGGGAGATGCTCCAATCCTTGAATCATCTCTTCTCCCATCCCCATCCCTGCCGGCTCCGGGTTGATGCTCTACCTGCACATCAGCAGTAGGAGCTGCTGGCTTTTCTCCGACAGGATTCCTTCGGCAGGGCCCGTTCCCCATGGAATTCCTCTCAGCAGTTATTTCTTAAAAGTGTCGTCCGAAAAGTTCCTTTTCCTTGCGCTGAACCGGATCTGCCGTTTCTTTTCCAAAATGTTGATTTTGGAGGCCTCTTTCTGCCGGCTTCTGCTTAAGATGGGTTTTTGCCTTCCTGCTAGCAGTAGGTTGTGATCTAATTAGTGCTTTTATTTTATAATAATTAATAAATGGGTAGAAATTACATTATATCTCCACGGGACTGAGGGATGAAATGAAAACGCTGGAGTTTTTTGCGTCCTCTCACTGGGAACCACTGAAAAGAGTCTGGCTCCCTCCTCCTTCAACCCTCCCTTGAGATACTTGTAGGCATTGATAAGGTCTCCCCTCAGCCTTCTCTTCTCCAGACTAAAGAGTCCCAGCTCTCTCAGTCTCTCCTCATAAGGGAGATGCTCCAATCCTTGAATCATCTCTTCTCCCATCTCCATCCCTGCCGGCTCCGGGTTGATGCTCTACCTGCACATCAGCAGTAGGAGCTGCTGGCTTTTCTCCGACAGGATTCCTTCAGCAGGGCCCGTTCCCCCTGAATTCCTCTCAGGAGTTATTTCTTAAAATCATAATCCGAAAAGTTCCTTTTCCTTGCGCTGAACTGGATCTGCCGTTTCTTTTCCAAAATGTTGATTTTGGAGGCCTCTTTCTGCCGGCTTTGGCTTAAGACAGGTTTTTGCCTTCCTGCTAGCAGTAGGTTGTGATCTAATTAGTGCTTTTATTTTATAATAATTAATAAATGAGTAGAAATTACATTATATCTCCACGGGACTGAGGGATGAAATGAAAACGCTGGAGTTTTTTGGTGCATTGTCTGTATGACAAGCGATCAGTTTTTTATTTATTATTGGTAATAATTCAGTAGTAAAATGAAGGTGTTTTTTTTCACTGAAACGTCCCTTTTCTTTTGCCACAGAGAAAGCAGCTGATGATGAAGTCCAGAAGTCTGACATCTCGTCCAGCAGCCAAGGGGTGATCGAGAAGGAATCTCTGGGACCTCTTCTGCTGGAGGTAGGTGCTGAGATGTTCTGCCTGGTGCTGCCGGGCCCCCGCTCCTGCCCAAAGCAAAGCAGGGCTCCCAGAAGGTGAAACACAGAGAAGGAAGGCAGCAGGGACAGAGTTGGGATGCTCTAAACCCAGCCGCATCCCTAAGTTGATGCTGAACTGATTTTAAGCTCTTCGCTGCAGCAAATGGTTGGGAAATGGGTCTTAACCAGGATGGATGGAGCTTGGGCTTGGTTATGATGAAGCTGTTCTGGGTAATTTCTTAATATCAGCATTAAAATATCAAGCTGCTTCTAAATGTGGATTAAACTGAGCTCCCAGGCTCATTTGGAGGTGAATTAAGTGATGTGGATGGATGGTTTTCAAGAGATTTGAATCCTTCCGTCCTCTGGAAAATAGGGAGGATGAGGAGGGCTCTCTGCACCTTGGTTGGTAGCAGTAAATCAGAAATCATCCTATCTAGGGTCAGAATCGGAGCCGACGGGACCATCTTGTATTGAAAATTTAATAATTTTACGAGGGTTATTATTTTATATCACAGGCTCCAGGGAGAAGCTTCAAATCCTAAATCGTTCCCCTGGTAATTTCCCAGGGGGGAGTTTGGGGCTGGGGGGGGTTGCTCCCTGGGAATGGCCAGCTCCGCCTTCCCGCCTTCAAACCGCCTGATAAGATTACACATTCAAAGACCAATAATGAAGCAACATCCTCATCTGATTCACTTAATTAACTGTAGGAGCGTAATTACTGACATGACACAGTTGGGTGATTTACCCCGTGGTTTCTGTTGGGAGCCCAAGAGCTGGGAGGGTGAAACGTGGCATCATTTTTGAGATGCAAAGCCAGCCCGGGTTTCAGGATTCCTGGGGAGAGAGACTTTCCCTGCCCACGTTTTTGGCCTCTTCCATATCTCCAGAAGATACTGGGAGACACTGGGGAGCTCTCCTGCACTGTGTGCTTTCCCAGACCTGTTTGATCCCTCCTCCTACCACATCCCTACTTCTAAGCCCTGGAGTAAAGGCATCAAAAATTAATAAAACTCCCCAAGAGGTGACCCTGCGGGTGGTGGAGCTGATGCAAAAGGGATGGGAAGGGAGTTGGTGTCAAAGGAAGGGTCTGACTTGTGGAAACTCAATGGAAAATGGGGGCTGGAGGCACCTGGATGGAGTTAATGGGCAGTTGGCAGCTTGGCTGATGAAGTCTGACAGAGGGAAAAATGCAGAAGGAGCAGGATAATGAGGCTGGGAAAGGCCTGTGGGTTTCAAGGGGTGAGTTGGGTGCTAGAATCATAGAATCATAGAACTGTCTAGGTTGGAAGGGACCTTTCAGACCATCAAGTCCAACCATCAACCATCAGGCGTGAAACAGGAATGTAAAGTGAGGCAGGAGAAGGCGGCAGATCCTCAACAAAAACCCGGTATTTGGGTTTTACTGGGAGAAGGCACCCTATGGGAGCAGGGGCAGAGGAAAGAAAACGGTGAGAGAGAGCAGGGTCCATAAATCCACCATAAATCC